TGTCTGTATTTAGAAATCGGAGGAAGAACACTTACTCGTATTTCAACTTACTTCTCAAACGAACCCGTATTTTAAGAGGAGATCGAGATTCAAGTTGGCGAAATTGGGCTGAAATTTTTCTCCGATTTCTAAATACTGATTAAATATTTCTTTCTTTTGAATTTTCTGCATGAATTATTAATTATTAACTTTTTGAACTTTCTGTTTGGAGTAGATATATATTATAGTCTGAATAATTATAGTTAGTACTAGTATTTTATGTAAATAATTATTTCCTTATTTGAGGACCCTTATGAAAACCATCTTTGATGATAAGGCTTCCTCACAAAAGATTGTTAAAAAAGAGAGTTTGAGAAGTAACATAAATAAACGAGAAAGAGTTTATTAACCAACATATGTGTTGAATAACGAGGCGCTGTCGAACTTTTTACTTTTAGGTGTTTTGCACGGCGGTAATAAACAGCTAATGCTTTAGAGTTTATTATATTAATGGGACTTGTATTTAAAGAGAAATTCAAGACGATAGTTGACTAAATTTATAGGTTTTTAGGCCAAGTAAAAAATATTAGTAGTTTCTCGTCCGAATTTTGAAAAGAAAGGAGAATGCGGGCGCTTTTTTTTCAGTTTGTCAGACCTTCAAATATTGCTCTTAAAGTTTATCGAATAACCTATAAACACAAACAAATATTGAAGTTTGGTCATAAAACGTAAATATATTAAAATAGGCAAAACAGCTACTGATGCAATATGGCACCAAAATACGGAACAGCAAGCGAGAGTTGACGAAAATTTCCAAACGGCAACCGAACTATGCCGAAAGAAGCAAAATAGCCGAAATACACTTAGTGGAAATTATATTCTTTGAAAGGCTCGAATATAAAAATTAAAAAAAAAAAGAAGAAAAGTCGTGCGGCAGGGAAAAAGGATGCGGGCGGGGACGAGAAACTACTAATTTTTTTTACTTGCCTTATTCAGAGGCGTAACTTGACTGTACGTATTAGGAGGAATTGGGAGGGGGTGGTGAGTTCTTCTTGTCTGACAAAAGGGCGTGGTCACCAATTAATCCGCCATGAAATTCGAGAACGTTTCTGTCGTTTCCTCAGATGACTTCAATTGCTTTGCCTGACATGCAACCCAATACTACGAAACATTGGCCCGAGTAATATACCGTTTATACTGGGGGGTTATCACACCCCCTCCACACACCCCAAAAGTTGCGCCCGTGCTTTATTACCGTGGTATCAAGACACTATTTGATAGTACTGATTTGATACTGTAAACCTGGTAGACTTGTAGACGCATATTGAAATCAAATCATACTCAAATGGCATTTCAAATGTCTTACAACAAAACTCAACGTCCCCCACTATGTCTAAATGTAGGGCTGTTCCTAGCGCGATAATTTTGGGGGGGGGGGGTTGTATATTCATATATTGGTGTTCTGCCCGACGGATTTCTTTTGAAAGCGATTGTTTTTACGATATGTGAACATGAAATATGAATATACCCCCCCCCCCCAATTATCGCGTCTAGGAACGTCTCTGTCTAAATGACAGACTTTATCGTGAAAATAATGATAATGTGTTATGGTCTCCAGAAGCTCTTATACTCTCCAATGCAACATTTGATATGGTAAATGTGACCGCTTTAGGACAAGAACACAAATTTGACTTAAATAAGGTTGATGGTAGAAACGTTCAGACTACTGTATATGGGAAAAATGGTGTGTATAATGATATACTATGAATAGAAAAATGACAACCTCACCTGAATATCGACCCGGATCAGGGTCATGTCTAGCGTTGCAGCTAACCCGGGTTAGGTTCATGCATAAACGTGACAGAAAAAACAAGGCCCATGAGGTCTTTCAATCCGGACTCGATTTCATTCTTTGATTTCGTTTGAGTTATTCAGTCTTACGTAATGTTTGACGTTTCTGCCTATTTCCAAAAGAAGGACGTCTAAGCTGTGTGTATACAGGGGCGTAGGAAGCATCTAAAAGTTGGGGGGGGCAGGCTTTGAGGGACACTTTTCGAATGAATAAGGCACCTAAAAAATTTTTCCCGGAAATGCGGGCGACCGAGGGGGAGGTCATCTCAAAAAATTTTCCGGACATACCAGAAATTTTTCCGGAAGTATCAGATTTTTAACCGAAAATGAAAAAAATTTTCCGGACATACCAAAAATTTTTCGGAGATATAATTTTTTTCCCGAAAATGAAAAACATTTTCCGTGCATAACATAATTTTACCGGAAATATGCAATCTGAACGACATTTTTCACGGAGGTAAAGGGCACTTTGCTCCCGGAAAAAGGGCACTTTTGAAAACTTGGGGGTCTGCCCCCCCCAGTTCCTACGCCTCTGTGTGTATAAATGCATCGCTCCAGTAATTGGGCATAGTGGTTATCAGAATACCAATATTAAACAACTATTGGCCGAAGGCGAGGTGATTATCGGGGAATATTCGCCGAGACGAAGTCGAGGTGTGTATTTTTCCACCCCTAGGACTGAAATGTGAGCATTTTTTAGAACAGATTTTGGATATACAGTGTTGCATTGTGCTTTGCCCCGAATCTGATCAGTTAAGTACTTGTATGGTATGTTTATGTAAATACCACAACTGGGTCACTCAGGGGGTAGGAAGCTTGTTAAACTTAGTGGGCCCGACTCCCACGTCTCTCTCGTCGAGTCTCTAGATCGTTGGAAATGGCATTTTCAGGGTCTTCTTTACCTCTTTGGCATTATGATTTGCGAGTCTATGCTATTTGTGATTATAGAAATCAGAACTCTAGACATGGTATTTAAGTTCAAAAACTTTTTTGACCCTCTCTTTCCCTAGTTAAAACTTTTTGATCCCCCCTATTTATAAGCGTAAAACTTCTTTTGCCCCCCTCCCATTTACCAACACCCCCTCCCCATAAATAATGACTACTCCCTAATTCCATCTACATGCGAAACCCTTCTATATAAAATTGTCTTTGTAGCAGTCAAAGTTAAGGTCTCAGCGTCATTTCGATAAGTACGTCACAAGTTTCTCCTTGCATGGCCTGGGCAGGGGCGTAGGAAGCTTCTAAAAGTTGGGGGGGGCAGGCTTTGAGGGCACTTTTCCAAAGAAAAGAGCATCTAAAAATTTTTTCCGGAAATGTTTGCGACGGGGGGGAGGTCATCTCTCAAAAAATTTTCGGACATACCAAAAAAATTTTCCGGATATAACACATTTTTTCCTAAATACGAAAAAATTTTCCCGGACATACATAACAATTTTCCGGATATATAATATTTTTATCGAAAGTGAAAAACTTTTTCCGGAAATAATTCGATTCATGTTCGATTCATAGATTCATGTTTTCAAAAGTGCCTTTTGGTCTACCTTTAATACCATTTTCCCCATCTTTTTTATTTTTTTTTTCTAATCAAGTTATCAGTTCATAAAATAGTAAAATAATCAGCTTTAAGCAGTCTTCAATTAACGGTCACAGATTGCTTCAAAACAAAACAAACATGGCGGCCGTGCTATACATAAAGTAAAAGTTGAGTTCGAGTGGAAATTATGGCTTTTATATTTTTAAAAATGGAAAAACTTTACATTAAACAACGCTAACAAAACTTACATAGTACGTTGAGTGAAATTCGGAGTTTCAAGGCGTTAGCGTTGTATAATGTAATATAACAAAGCAGGACAACATTGTCAGTGTCAGTGTCAGTGGACAATTGTCTCGAACGTTTTGATGTATATTATTAATACGTAATAGAATAGTTTCTCGTGAAATTGGGATATTCAAATAGCACTCGTCCGATGATCTTTGAAAAACTCACTCGTGTAGTCGTGCATGTTTTATCGAAACCATTCTATTACCTATACAAATCGATAATGTCAATTATTGTCAAAATACGAAATTTTGGTACAATCCTTCCCAGCTTCGTGTTAACCGCGCAGACAAAAAATATAAATGGACTGGAACTGACATCCAATTGCTCTTCAATTTCCGCCTTCTTTATCTTCACTTTGTGGACTCAAGTTCTCGCTCCACTAGATAAATAGTGTGTCCCTAAAAACCCCAAAGCTATTGAAATAACGTATTGTTAGAATTTGAATGCCCTAGCACTAAGCTGAACGCAAAGATGCGTAAAATATTGATAGAGTGCATATATTAAATATTGACTTATTAATTAAGAAATTAAAATATCTTTGTAAAGCGCACGATTTTCTGCTCTTGGGAATTTAAAGCAGTTTCTTAAATTCTAAGCGAGAATAACTTACCAAAAATGATAAAATTACAAATTAGTCATATTATTATTATTCATTGTACTGTGTTCTCGGTTTTTCATTGGCTAAGAGCCTACAAATAATTTTGGGTATTTGTAGGTGCCTGCGCTATTTCCAGCGGAAACAGTAATCTGCAGAGGTTATTGGACGGCGCCCGAGATATTTCAGCGGTATTTTATGTGAAAATACAAATTTGCGGGAAATTTTTAGTTGAATTTACGAAAAGTTAATCAATTCAATGAATATTTATTTGTTTTCAATTGTTGCTTGTTTTGTTTTCTTTCTGTCACAAAATGAATAACAAAACAGTTATTGAATCGCTTGCGCAATGATACCAGAATTATTGAGACCTCGGTCAATGTTATCTGCCTCAGCCTTCGGCTTCGGCAGATAACATTGATATCGATCTAAATAATTCTGGATTTCCTGCTCAGCCCCATCCAATAATTGTTAATTATCAGTTCGGGAGAAAATGGTTCAACTCACCACAGAACAACGAGTTTTCATTGTTATAATGCTGCGTATTACATAAATCTCTTTTGCAAACATTCTTTTAAATTAAACCGTTTCTTTATGCATAACTATTTACATATGTCAAGCTTTTATGCACTTGTGGGTTCAGCAGAGTGCTGAGGCCTTCAAATTCCACCAATACGTTATTTCAATAGTTTTGGAGGTTTTGGGGACACCCTTTGTATGGCATGGCCCAACGCATTAATTAAGCACTCCATTGTCACGGTATAATTACATTTATTGTGTATTTATACAAATATATAGGTGTAAAAATAGAAACAGCCTAGTATAAAAATTCACTGCAGTGGTAAAAAAATCCTAATAGAAGCAGGCAATTAGAGAAGAATTATAATTTTATTAATTGTTACTCTGTATTGAACTAAATAAAGTACACGCGCTAGAATATCATAGTGTTCAAGTTTTATCGAAATGCCACGCACTTTCATTCCGTGGTAGGGAACGTTCCAGCACCTTGTCCAAATCCATAACCATGAATATTACATACTTTGCAGTAGTGTGCCTTACAGTACAGCATACCTGTAGAAAAATACACATCGTTAAACTCTATGCATTTTTGTGCCATCAACTTCTGACAGTACAGGGTACAGAATATTATTGGAAGAGATTATTTCGCTGGTCTCAGAGTGACAAAACGTAACAAAGCAACGGTTTTACTAACACTAACGCTACTCCAAACACCAACTCTAACCATAACCCTAATCCTTACCCTAACCTAACCCTACTCTAAATTTGTTTCTAAACCAATCTTGAAGAAACATTTTTTGACGAAATGTCATTCTGAGGTTGGCGAAATAGTTGATGCCAATATTATTATCTTTCATTGAAATTTGCAACAACATGGCTGTCGTTTTATCAACCTCGTTACCAGGAAAGACCCTGGTACACGCATAAAAATCTCACATCTAGCTTGTAGCAAGTCTGCCAACAAGCCGTCAACAAGTTGTGTTCGCACTGCTTGTCCCAAGTTGTCAACAAGTTTGGAACAAGCTGTTAACAATTTGTAAAAACCTTGTTGATATGATCAGACTTGTTACAAGGTTGTTCCAGAAAGTCCTATACAGTCATGACATAGCAGTATTATTACAACCTGTGTCGTCAACCTTGTAACATCCTTGTTCATCATGACTGTATCAGACTTGTTAGAACAACCTTGTGACAAGTCTGATAATGCCATCAAGCTTGTTACCAGTTGTTAACAACATCTTGTTCCAAACTTGTTTCCAACAACTGGGAACAAGCAGTGCGAACACAACTTGTTGACAGCTTGTGAGCAGATTTGTAACAACTTGTTTGCAGACTTGTAACAACTTGTGCGTTTTTACGTGTGTAGGAACTGGTCACGTGATCTGCTAAAATCTAGCAGATTTCTAATTAACTATCTTGGATTCCTTTAAATCAAATCAAACTTGCAAAACAAAATGCAAGTTGTAAATTAAAGGATAAATATCAAATATTTATCATCATCATCATCATCATCATCATCAATTATTTAAACATCTGTTAGATTTTAGCAGATCACGTGACCAGCTCCTACCAGGACAAGAGCTGGGAACGAGGTTGTTTATTCATAGCGTATAAAGATATGATGGTGTGGAAAGTGAACAGAAGTCATTGTGTTATGTTTTTGTTCAGGTTAATTTGTGCACGGTCACGGTGATCGACCTCAATAAAAGACGACTTACACTACTGTACCACTACAAAACTTTTGTCTAAAACTCTCGCATGCATGCAACCTGCTTACAACTTGAGTTGTACTGTGTAAATCAAGCACACAACTCACCTACGTTGTGTTGTACTGTGTAAGTCAATACACAATACAATCGCCTATACGTTGTAGTAGGTGAATTGTGTGCTTGATTTACACAGTACAACTATATTATATTTGTAGTACGCTAATATATATATAAATACGTTACCGTCATGCTCGTTAAAGGTCATGCTATCCAGACGTTTATTGCACATACAACATTTCATACACTTTTTGTGGTACACATCACCCTTCTTTCCAGAAATTGCAGCCTTTTCGGCAGAGTAAACAACACTGTCGCAACAGGGACACACTTCAGACATTGTTTTACCTAAAATATAAACAAATATATATGAATATATATATATAGTATATATATATAAATAGAATATATATATATATATATATATAAATAGAATATATATATATATATATATATATATATATATATATATATATATATATATATATATATATATATATATATATATATATATATATATAATTTTTCGATCTTCAGATAATGAAATGAAAATCTGATGAAAAGGTTCGATAACGATAATGAAAAGACATCTTCCTCTCGCGGTTTGAATTCCGATATCGCCATCCCAACCATTATTATAAACAATCGGATATGTCTAAATGGTCTAATCTACCCGATTAACCAATCAAATGCGTTATTAGCCATATATAAATGAGAGGTAGCGTAGTGAAATCCGAAGGCTCTTACGTGCACTGAACTATATTGCCCAATCCTAAGACTGAATATCTTAAAAAAGTCTTTGTTATAGAGGCAAATCGCAAAACTGTGGAATAGCCTCTCAGACGAATTAAGGAATAATGAATTGCCTTTGATACAAGTATAATTGCGACACCAGTTCATTTAATGAGATAATTGTATCTCTGATTGTTTGTCTTATTCATAATTATTTATTAATTACCTAATTATATCTACTTTATAGTGTATTGACTGCATGTAATTTGTAATGACTTAATGGACTTATATATTCTTATATCGTCTTAATGCCAGAAGGGTTATGCCGGCTTACATCTACCGGGTGCCCCCAAAAAACTGGACACTGTTTGATTTCATGTAACGTAAAAGATATAAAAGCTATCGCGATGAAATAAAGATCATTGCATTCAGATAGGACTAACTTAGATTTTGATATATAACACTTGAATTTACATGCAATATTGACTGCACCATCGATGTTTGAACGTTGAACTACTGTTTTTAAAAATTCCAAAAATTAGCATAAAACAATCAAATGCATTCCAAATTCGAACAGTTGTATCTCGCTCAATATTGCATGTAAATTCAATTATTGCTATATATTAGAATCTAAGTTAGTCGTTTCTGAATGCAATGATTATTAGCTTTTACGTTACACTTACATGAAATCACTTATTACGCAGTGTCCAGTTTTTTTTTGGGACACCCGGTAGATAAACAATTTTGCGCATTTAAAGTTAAACGTCTGTTAACCGCAAACTAAATAACAGCGCTGTTTGCTTGTCTATAATATGTTTCAGAAATGCTTATATATATCCAGTATATATAGTGAGTCTGCACGACGGTAGAAAAGCAATTAAAGCATTCTATAACTATAATAAGCTTCAGTTCATTTGGACAAGTATAAAATATTTCTCCAGTTAGTCTATTTGCTGGTGTCTGCAAACTGCCTATATATAGTCTATAGAGGTCAATTGGGGTCGATTGAGATTGTATCGTTTAGCACAATTTCTTTCCTGCGTTAAACAAGCCAACCATCAGGACGGTTTCTGCCTTTCTGGGATGAGCGGTTAAGCAAATAATGACTTGAGAACTTTCAGACCTTACTGAAAATTACCGCACAGCATGTCGCAAAATCCATTTCATTCAAATCGAATAAAATGTTTCTGTCACATTGCCAGAACATCAAATAAGCTATTTTGAGGTATAGGCGAACGGAAATAAACGAGGAATAATATCGAGAAAAACGTCGACAATGCCAATGGCAAGATATCAGCGTTTTGCGCTAGGCTGCAACGTTTCCTGTATCAAAGGCAAGCTATGTCGCTAGACAGCAGCCGTATCGTTTTGATACCTGATTCGCTGACTACGGTCACATGTTTGAAGATGTCTTGCTTCAGACTTGCTAGTCGCAACTCGCAAGTCTAACCTTACGTACAAATAAGGTCAAGCGGAGATACATAGACTATCATAGTAACACATGCACCGCGTTTTTAAACGCTTCACGCTACATGCATGTGGTATATGTATAAACAAATAACATATATAGTGGTGGAAATTAAATTCATTCCAAATTCGGCAAAACAGTTACACACTCCATGCTAATTATGTATTCATATTGCATATATATGTGGAGGTGCGGCCGCTTGCCTCTGTCTCAAACTTCTGCAACCTATAAAGTATGTCTGGTCCATAAAGTGAACAGAAAAACAGATTGCTCTGATTTCAGATACAGCTTGTGATATCGTTAGCCGTTAATAAGAACAGCGCTTCTCTGTCAGGGCAGATAAATTTCTCGCAAGTTAAAATATACTGAACACATGTAGTAATTTATATATGTCCTCTATAATATGGCACACGTTGTATGAACTTGAACCCAGACACGGCAAAATTTCATAGGCAAACATTTCAGAGCGACAGAACTAATATTAATATTGTCTTATAATATTTTTTGTGTGTCCTCCAACAGAATTTTCTCACGAAGGGAGAGCGCTCTTGTTTTTTCTAAAAAATACTGAAATCTGTATGGAAAATTTTCAGCCGCGTCACCGCAGAAATTTTCGTTCAACCAGTCTTGCTGTCTGCATATCTTTTTGAGCAAATCAGTTAGTGAAAAAGTGACAAACACAAAACAGATGGCGCAAGGAGCTATAAAACATGATATTTATTGCCATATTAGAACAGATGATAGATTTGTCACCTGTTCTGTTGAGCGACATGTAATGTATACGATACGTTATTTTAAACGCAGATAATCTTCAAGTACATGTCATTAACCATATTATTATTATAATATAACTTACCAGTGGATAATACGAAAACCACAAACTAAGCAGCTTTTTCCAACAGGATGCTTCTGTTAACGCCTGCCGACCAGTTAGTGACGAGTGGACTAGACTTCAACTCCGTAAAATACATTGGTATTTCAGTCAAAGCTGACAGGCCAATCAAAAAGCAGTATTAGTTATAAAAAATCCCTGCTATTGGCTGTTTCCTTCCCCGGAATTCGACTTATTCAAAATTGTTTATTTGCCCGAATTCTGTGTCATAACTCTCGAAAATTTAACGTGGAAATCGGTGATTTAAAATTGAATGTGCAAACACAGTGCAGTAAGGTCCAATCTTAAGTGATAAAATACGGGATTTCTTACATGCAAGCGATTGAATGAGTCACCACAACTCAGATGCACATGACACAAATTCCAGAGATATACATAATGAATTTTATTTCAACCCACAAATAGGCGCGTCATCTGGCGTATCGATGACTTTGTTTGAAATTCCGTTCGATACAAAAGATTGAAGCAGGGTGCCGCATATACAAAGTCAATGAACAAGAAAATCTGTAGTAATTTTTGCCACTATTCTCCAATGTATCTAAATGTACTTTACCTATGCGAGCATAGATTGAGTGTTCCCAATAGTTTGTATGATAATTGCTACATTATAATGAGAAGCGGATAAAATCCGTGGAACATTATATAAACTACGGCATGTTGCTAAATCGTCCTTAACCAATTTGACACATGCGGTGCGCGCTTCAATATTCATGTGGCGTTCTTTGTGATTGGTCCATTTAAGGCATCGTCTAATCAGTCAGTATTAAGCATTAAGAGAAGCTAATTTAGTATTCACAGACTGAGTATACAAAGGTATACAATTATGTATATTTGCAACGGGCAGTTTTGCTTCCCGTTCTGAGGTTTCTTACAGATGTTGTGTTGTTGTTTTACGATTGTTGCGTGACTGTTCTCGTAACAAAATTATGATTTTCAATCCTTGGTCACTTGGGCTTTGATCCCGAACGATATGAGAGTTGACGAGCAACTCTCATCAACTCTCATGCAACTCTTGTGCTCATAAACTCTCATTTTATAGTTTGATCATGGTTGCACTGACTGATTTCAGTCAGTCCTGAAGTATATCTTAGCTATACTATAATACATGTATTCACCAGAAATTTAAAGGACATTAATATCGCGCTATTCAAAAGCAAAACATGACAACGAACGCTTGATCAGGCTGTTAGTCATTGGAATACGTTAATTAAATAGCAATCCAAACGTTTGTAAATCTAGTTCTGATTTTAAACTCTGTGTTAAGAAACAAATCTTTAACTAATTTCCCACTAACTAGCAATGCTTAATCTGAATGAATTTTAAATCTATTAGCTTCAGAACTTTTAGCATTCATTGTTTATCAGTGGCGTAGCTAGCGGTCCTGCTTGTCCTGCCCAGCAGGACTAAAAATTTCCCAAAATTTCCTTACTAAAACATTGCTTTATTTATCTTGAAGCTTTAAAAATTCATCATTATCATATTGTTATTTTGTCTCATTTTCCCTTCTATTTTGTTATTATTTTTTAAAACGTTTTTCACATTATGTTATATTTACCCAATTTTACAACTTGCGGTGTCTGTTACCTAGCAACTACAACTCTACATTGATTTACACGCGCTCGTGTTTCAGTCCTGCCATTTTCAAATGGCAGGACTTGCTAGTATATTTCATAGTAAATTCATACAAGAAATCGTGCTTTCTGATTGGATAATTAGGTCTGCGCATGCTCAAACCGACTGTTTACAAATGCGAAGTCCTGCTCTCTCGAAATGGCAGGACTTGACCTTATATTGTCTTTACTTGCGAGCTTTCCGCGTGACTAAACCCACTATTTACTAATTCTGTCGAGATTACTAAAGTTATGAATATGGAAATCAACGAGTGTGGAAGCCCAATGTGATTTTGATATAATTTCTGGCTTCTGCTATAAAGATATTTTAGCTCACGAAATGCATGTGAACAGACTCGATCGACTGACGATTGTGGATAATACAATATAATGGGGAATACAAACTTCATTTGTGAAGTCTGTCGTATTGATATAAAGTAAGAACGTAATATTTACTGCCAGTTCATATGCTTTTTTATGCATTGAAACACGAGCAATACCAGCACTTAGTGGAGTTTAAAAAATGATATACTGTACCAATTTAGTCTTAGATTCACACTGTTTATGTAGATATCTGGCCGCATGCACTATATTAAACGCTATATTAATACCCCAGCCATATGCATAGCGTACTAAATTACATTCAGAGTGTCAGGCGTAGTGGTCTGTATCTGATACCACTCCATTATATAAAGTTTAAATTAACACATTACTAACAAACGTAGTGAATTTTAACGAATGCTAGCCGTAGTGACAGTGTATAAAATGCCGTGTTATGTGTTGATCAAGTGAAAGATCATATTACAGACGCGTATTGTATACATGATATTTTCTTCTTTCGACTTTCGTGACTTGACTATATTTAGCTACATTTTCACTTATAAAGTTGAAAAATATATAGTGAAATATGATAAAAATGCATGGTTTCAAAAGTTACAAAATTTTTTCTAAAAAAATTATCAAAAATTTTCCGCTTATCACACAATTTTTTGATGTTCCTTTTGGAGTATTTCGCCGTGAAATCGCAGGAAATGGCCATTCCAGACTTCTAAAATTCAAAATTTTCCGGGGGAGCATGCCCCCGGACCATCCTAGAATGTGTGGGTCTTAGAGCAGGACTATTCAAATTTCGCTGGCTACGCCACTGTTGTTTATATTATACTATTATTTCACGAGTTTGTAAATATTTACTTAGCTCGACAGGCCCCTTTGGGGACTGGGGACAAGTTTTGTATTGCATTGTACTATGAAGGGTTTAACCGTTTAGTTGTGACAGACGATATCATTAGAATTGTAGAATACAAAATTGCTGGGACACAAACACAAGAGTGATCCAGACCACGACTGACACAAATTATATTTAGACACATTTGAAAGATGTTATTGTACTTCACTTGGTTGAACCTGAATGCTGGATTCGGTGGATAATCGAAGTGGGCATATATTTTCATTGACAGCTAGACAACTGCATGGCCTTCTTCTATAGCGCTGCACCGGAATCGCAGGACCGCAGGTTCAATTCCTGCCAAAGGGCCTGTACAGGCTGAGGCTGTACTGCTGTAGTTGCATTTTACGCAACTGTTCCTATCTCGCAGGGTTTATTTTAACGTGCAGTTCTACACAAAATGTGCAGTTCTAAACCCATTTGTGCGGTTCTTAAAACTCGATCAAATGTGCAGTCACCAACTGGCAAAAATATAACCTCAAAACAGTCTTCTCATTTACTCGTTTTCCTTGTGGATTCTCCAGATGCTAGAAATGCTGTCATTGAGCATCAAAAATCTAACGGTTTTCTGGGAGAGGACCACCAGACCCTCATATTTTCCTCACAAATCACATACGTGCTGGGGTAATGGAACATGAGGTAAAATTGGTGCGAGCTAAGCTATCCAAAAGAGATTAGAGTGGGAGAACTTAATATTCTTTGCTGCCTAAGGTTATCAGTATATATTGAGTATTCATGATTCCCAGTTACATGTTTTGAAAGAATTTTGGTGGTTGGTTGGGTGAAACAAATCTTTGCCAGAACTTACAAGCCTCTAAATTCAAAATTTGGGGGAACACCCCCTACCTGTAGCTCCCCCACCCAGAATCGAGTTTGTCTGCCCCCACCCAACCACACCTTTATTCTGCCACCTATATATGCACAAATAAAGAGTCTATCATAATTGACAACGTTAACTATAAATTTAATTACAACGTTAAATATAGATAAACTGAATCCTTTGACCCCCAGTCAAACACGTGATGCTTCGTAACAACCTTAATATGTGCAGTTCTAATTTTTTCTTAAAATAAACCCTGCTATCTCAATTGGAATTTTCCTAATTACCTTTGCAAATTTGAAAAACTCTTTGCAAATGACTCTTGAGGGAATTTGCAATATTCCAATGCGGAGACACTTCCTTTTAAATTTCTCTAACTTAGTAATTTCCATTTGCTGTTCTAGAATATTTGGAACACTGTTCTGGAACGATATGAAATGGAGTGTTAGTTTATCAGTATATATACGTGCAACCATAGTTAATAGAGGAGATGGTTTGGAAACTCATTAGCATTACAATAAACCTCGCTATCTATGTTTTTGTTCAGGTTTATGCAAAAATGTGGTCTTTCATCGTCACGTGCGTATTGCATTTTTGCTCAACCAGCCAATAGCAACGGTTTTGTCCTATTGCCCATCCATGACTTTAACAATAGGACATTTTGAACATTCCTATTGGTTGACTTGACAAAAATACAATACGCACGTGACGATGGAAGACCACATTTTTGCATAAACCTGAACAACATAGATAATGAGGTTTAATGTCATTTTATTGTAATGCTAACGAGTTTCCAAACCATCTCCTCTATTAATTATGGTGCAACCAAGCATTACTAATTTACTATATCATTAGTTATTCGCATAATAAATCGTATAATGATTTGATGTTATTTGTGTATCTAAGTATACTTTTGCAACGTTTTTACTCGTTGATTTTGCCCAATCCTGGCGTTCGAATAGCATATAATAAGTATATGTCGATATATTCCGGTTAGCCCTTCAAAATAACACTATATGCTTTTAAAGTTTGTTCGTTCACTGCAACCAGGTTTATCAATCATGTTTCGCTCGCTACTCTGGTTTAAATAGATGACTACAAAGCCCAGTCGAATTGTAATCAGGACCCAACGTTTCGACACTCCAGTCTAGTGTCTTCGTCAGGGGTGATCTAAAGTTACAATCGTGGCTTCTTACGTCATCCCTTGGGTATTTAAGAAGCCACGATTGTAACTTTACTCACCCCTGATGAAGACACTAGACTGGAGTGTCGAAACGTTGGGTCTTGATTACAATTCGACTGGGCTTTGTAATCATTTATTTAAACAAGAGTAGCACTATATGCAGTATATGATTCACAAAATCTGTCGCCTCCATTTCCAATCACGTGAAAATGGGCAGTGTCACGTGTCTGTTCTGGCTGCCCCTACTCGAAAATCGGGGTAGTCAGAACAGCGGTCATGTTACTGTCTTCTGTTCCATGCCATTAGTATTCAGAAAATCTGGAGTACTCCGAACAGCAAATGGAGCAGCTTCCTGACTAATTCCTGTTCCGTTCTGAGCGTTTCATTGGTGTATTATTTTTGTTAGCCAATTACAACGCACAGAACAGAACAGAAAGTTAGGAACTTGTAACAGGAAGTTACGAACTTCTAACAGGAAGTGAGGAAAATTTTCTTGGTTTTTATCAACATTGCAAATTCCCTCAAGGAATTTGCAAGGGAGTTTTTCAAATTTGCAAAGATAATGACGAAATTGCAATCAAGTTAGGCCCAACCTCGTACCCAGGGGGCTGCTCCATTTACTGTTCGGAGTACTCTAGATTTTGGGAACACCATAGTTAATAGAGGAGATGGTTTGGAAACTCATTAGGATTACAATAAACCTCACTATCTATGTTTTTGTTCAGGTTTATGCAAAAATGTGGTCTCGTGCGTATTGTATTTTTGCTCAACCAGCCAATAGCAACGGTTTTGTCCTATTGCCCATCCATGACTTTAACAATAGGACATTTTGAACATTCCTATTGGTTGACTTGACAAAAATACAATACGCACGTGACGATGGAAGACCACATTTTTGCATAAACCTGAACAACATAGATAATGAGGTTTAATGTCATTTTATTGTAATGCTAACGAGTTTCCAAAACATCTCCTCTATTAACTATGGTGCAACCAAGCATTACTAATTTACTATATCATTAGTTATTCGCATAATAAATCGTATAATGATTTGATGTTATTTGTGTATCTAAGTATACTTTTGCAACGTTTTTACTCGTTGACTTTGCCCAATCCTGGCGTTCGAATAGCATATAATAAGTATATGTCGATATATTCCGGTTAACCCTTCAAAATAACACTATATGCTTTTAAAGTTTGTTCGTTCACTGCAACCAGGTTTATCAATCATGTTTCGCTCGCTACTCTGGTTTAAATAGATGACTACAAAGCCCAGTCGAATTGTAATCAGGACCCAACGTTTCGACACTCCAGTCTAGTGTCTTCGTCAGGGGTGATCTAAAGTTACAATCGTGGCTTCTTACGTCATCCCTTGGGTATTTAAGAAGCCACGATTGTAACTTTACTCACCCCTGATGAAGACACTAGACTGGAGTGTCGAAACGTTGGGTCTTGATTACAATTCGACTGGGCTTTGTAATCATTTATTTAAACAAGAGTAGCACTATATGCAGTATATGATTCACAAAATCTGTCGCCTCCATTTCCAATCACGTGAAAATGGGCAGTGTCACGTGTCTGTTCTGGCTGCCCCTACACACGTAAAAACGCACAAGTTGTAACAAGTCTGCAAACAAGTTGTTACACGTTTGTTCACAAGCTGTCAACAAGTTGTGCTCGCACTGCTTGTTCCCAGTTTGTTGTAACAAGTTTGAAACAAGCTGTTGACAACTTGTAACAAGCTTGATGGCATTATCAGCCTTGTTACAAGATTGTGCTAACAAGTTTGTTACAGCCATGATATAACAAGGATGTTACAAGGTTGTCAACACAAGTTTGTAACAATCTTGTTATATCAAGCATGTCACAGACTTGTCAGAACAACCTTGCAACAAGTCTGATAATTTCGACAAGGTTGTTACAAGTTGTCAACAAGTTGTTCCAAACCTGTTGACACCTTGTGACAAGCAGTGCGAATACATCTTGTTAACAGCTTGTGAACAGACTTGTAACAAACTTGTGCGTTTTTACGTGTGTACTCGAAAATCGGGGTAGTCAGAACAGCGGTCATGTTACTGTCTTCTGTTCCATGCCATTAGTATTCAGAAAATCTGGAGTACTCCGAACAGCAAATGGAGCAGCTTCCTGACTAATTCCTGTTCCGTTCTGAGCGTTTCATTGGTGTATTATTTTTGTTAGCCAATTACAACGCACAGAACAGAACAGAAAGTTAGGAACTTGTAACAGGAAGTTACGAACTTCTAACAGGAAGTGAGGAAAATTTTCTTGGTTTTTATCAACATTGCAAATTCCCTCAAGGAATTTGCAAGGGAGTTTTTCAAATTTGCAAAGATAATGACGAAATTGCAATCAAGTTAGGCCCAACCTCGTATCCAGGGGGCTGCTCCATTTACTGTTCGGAGTACTCTAGATTTTGGGAACACCATAGTTAATAGAGGAGATGGTTTGGAAACTCATTAGGATTACAATAAACCTCACTATCTATGTTTTTGTTCAGGTTTATGCAAAAATGTGGTCTCGTGCGTATTGTATTTTTGCTCAACCAGCCAATAGCAACGGTTTTGTCCTATTGCCCATCCATGACTTTAACAATAGGACATTTTGAACATTCCTATTGGTTGACTTGACAAAAATACAATACGCACGTGACGATGGAAGACCACATTTTTGCATAAACCTGAACAACATAGATAATGAGGTTTAATGTCATTTTATTGTAATGCTAACGAGTTTCCAAACCATCTCCTCTATTAACTATGGTTGCACCTATATTATAGCTCAGTGGGTTGCACGTATGTGCACTCCATTTCATATCGTTCCAGAAACAATGTTTCAAATGTTCTAGAACAGTAAATGGAGCAGCCTCTGGGCACGAGATTGGTTAGGAACTCAGGAGGGACGCTTGACGTAGTTTACCTGTTCTGGTTTACCTGTAAATAGTGTGTATATATTCTTGACTTGCAATGTGGGCGACTGCCATGTTGGCCCCTTTTCAGCAAAAGAATCTCATTATCTTCCTTTGAATTTGGCACCAACATGGCCGCCGTGCTGCATTGTCTATTTGTCTTCTAATTCTCAAGGGTGATCAAAATATATTTCACAAAGTTTCGTGGATTATCCACCAAATCCAGCGACCAGCATATTTAAAACATAATCATTTATCTGTTTAAAGCGGGCATGTTACATTTCCAGACTAATGGCAAGCCGGATGGCATCATGGCAAAATAGGTAAGGAATAGGTCTAACCTCGTACCCAGGCTCTTTCCGCTACGCTTTGGAATAGGTGCGTCCTCCCAGTGCTTTGATTATGCAACACTATCGATCTCAGACGGCATAGTTCGTTTCTGTTTGCGTCGGACCTCTGGGCTACGATTTTGCACACATAAAAATGAAGGCAGGGGCGCCAGTCTTCTCATGTGCAATAGCGCTGTAATTAAAAATAGAAGGCCTAAGTCTAGGCTGAGACATTAATTTACTGTGTTTCTTATTTGCTATGTTCGACTAAATCAGTACAGACGACCGGCCAAGCGTAGGGGGAGGGAGTGTGTGCTCATTGAGTTTTGGTCATGGTGCAAGATAGAATTAGATAGCTATGGGAACAGTGGGCTTGTAGAACACAGAAGTAAATAGTTTGTTACCATTGATTGATACAAGGATATCTAAGAATGATACACTGGTCTCACTGATCTCCCATGTGAACTGGAGTGCTGGACGGAAATTATTAACAAAGTTAATAAAGCGTTCCAATTCGACACGAGAACATGATGCTGTGGCAAGACAGTCATCTATGTACCTACCAAGGTAATCAGGGATGGGATCAGTGTGCTGTTCAAAGATTGGTTTTTCCACAAAACCAACAAACAAATTAGCATAGTTGGGTCCCATTTTAGTTCCCACTACTACACCATTTATCTGTTGGTTATGCTCACCATCAAAAGAAAAATTGTCGAGGGTAAGCACCAACTCAGCCAATCGGACCAAAACAGAAGTGGCCGGTTCCTGGTTAGGGCGTTTATCTAGAAAGAATTTGAGGGCCCTCAAACCATCATGATGAGGAATTACAGTGTATAAATAAGGATTTGACGTCCATGGTGAAAATGAATTTGCGAGTGCCATGAAAATGAATGTTCTGGAGAATTTGGAGAGCATGCTTGGTATCCTTGACATAGGATGGTAAGTCCTTAACCAAGGATGCCATAACACGATCGAGAAAACTAGAGATGAGTTCGGTGGGACAACTACAACTACAAGCAGAGACAATAGTTCTACCTGGGTTGTCAGGGTTGTGAATTTTGGGCAAAAAGTACATGACAGGTGTGCGAGGTGTGATGTGTACGAGGTTTTTGGCAGTCTCAGGGAGATCACCAGTGTTGATAAAGTTATGAATGGTCTGAGTGATGGTGGTTTGATGAATGGAAGTCAAATCCTTGTCAACCCTCCTGTAAAAAGTGGCGTCACCCAATTGTCGGTGGGCTTCATTACAATATAAATCAGCTCTCCAAACAACTAAGGCACCACCCTTATCAGCAGGTTTGATAACAATGTCATTAGGAGCATGGAGTGCACTAAATTCATTGTTAGTGAGGTTGGATGGCCCTTTGGGCCTACATTTGGGGAGTTGTTCTATATCATGTCGACATTGTCGAATGAATAGTTCAAGGGACCAATATTGGTTCTGGGGGAGACCAGGAAGATTTTTTGGGGTTGATAGCCTCAAAAAAGTCCTTGTGAGGGACGGAGGATTGATCATGGAAATGTGCTTTCAGACGCAGGCGTCTGACGCGAACAACTGCTCACGTCAGGTCATTTTGGGAGTTCTTTCATTTTGTTAATCACTTTCCGTGATCTGCGCGTAAAAATAGTCACCCGGTTTTGTTCGCGATTCTTGAGCAGGGTTTTTGTGATAACTATATCGAACCACCTCAATACTAATATTGAAGACAAAACGTTAAATATTTTACTCCATTTAATTAATAATGAAATCATTAATATTCTTTCTTAAGTTACCTTAAGGGGCGTTTCTTGATCGCCATGGGAACAGCAAATACGGATTTAATATTTTTCAGCAAATATTAGATAGCTTAAGATCTACGACGTTGACGTCAGCTAGGACGTCAGGGCTATGCAGAGGACTGGGAATAGGATGTCGTCCTAATGTAGTCCCAGTCCTCTGCATATCCCTGACGTCCTAGCTGACGTCGACGTCGTAGATCTTAAGCTATCTATTATCCTGTAGTATAAAACACAAACGTTAAAAATCTTATCAATTTTTGTCCATGATAAAAAATGAAATCGTTCGGTACGTACATACAAAGCGTATAGCTTCGAACTAACGTTTTCTTCGACCTTGACAGCGTAAAATTGCGACTGAATCCGTATATATTTGAGACTGGAAGAATTGGTGCATGTATATCAACTATTGAACTTTTCGACCAATTCTATTGAATTGCAATTTGATTTAAAAACGTAAAAGGGTTGCTCGAAGAACAATTAGTTTTCGAACGGTGACCCATTAGGGACTGGTCATAAAGTAACTGCTAGGGTGGGCTGGAGGTAAATCAGAAATTTTGCCAATAAGTTCGGTGACCCATCTTAGGATGTAGATAAAAATTTCAAAGCCCATCTAATCTTACAAAAAAATTTTCATGACCCACCCAATCTAAATTGGGAAAATACACTCTTATAATAAAAAAACAAACTTGCAGGTATGAACATTGTAAATATACACCGGCACTGTATTGGCATACGTAATTCCACCAAGCTTGACCAACATTTCTCAAATTCGTTAATAATTCATGAGTAATTCAGCCAATGATAATCACCTATTTGATCACAAGATGCCATTTGGATACTGGATGAAAGTCACTAGTGTTTTCATCAAATATCTTAATTACGCATGCAAAATTACTTGAATAGAATTCCTAATTACGTTATGCTTGGTTAAGAATTCTATTCAAATCAGCAAACGAAAACATTCTGTTACGTCTCGATCATTTGAGAAGCCATATATTCATTTGAGAAGCTCGTGTCTCACCGGGATATCCAAACACTCGAAACTGAACAATGTATGAAAACACTCGCGCTTCGCGCTCGTGTTCTCATACATTGTTTTCTCGTGTTTGGATATCCCGGTGAAACACTCGCTCTCGTTGTTCATATATTACTTTCAAAATTCACCAATTACGATACTGAGCTGTTCTCCAGTTGGTTGTATTTGCTGTAAAGTACTGGATTCAATAGCATCATTTACATTTGATAATTCGGATAGTTTTGTTTACTTTTATTATTAATATCTTTATTTTTGGAAGTATAGACATGCATGGGTTTTTGTTTGGTTGCCCAACCGTGGACATACAAAATATTTGGCGGCCCATCGAAACTGTCGAAAGATTTTCCATGGCCCATCCCAAATCACTCCAGCCCACCCTAGCAGTTACTTTATGACCGGTCCCTTACAAATTACAAAAATAGTCCGATATAAATGCACTTTTCTATATTCTGTTTACAGAAGAGACAAGTATATAGGTCAGGATAAAAAGGAGAATGGCAACAAAAAATGTTATTGTCTCATTCGAAAGAACGTTTAAAATTTTCTAAAATCTTGTTACTGATGTTTCATATCTTGCTTGATTCTTGAAATATTTTGACTGAAAGCAATGAACTGTCCGCTGTCTTGGATTATTGAGGACGGGGTCACGCTAGTTTCTTATCTTGACAGCCAGTGATCATTATGAACACGAAACTCGTTTTTGGTTGCTATTTCAAATTTCGAATTGAATAAAAACATTTTAAACTGCTTTTGATTGTTACTCAGTAGCTTTATTTTAATTCTTAGAAGTAATTTTATATGGCCAACCTCACTTTGAACAGCCTAGACCTACAATCTTTGACAATATAGATTGGGACAATCTAGTTTTCACATGCATTCGGTTGTAATAATTATACCATTTGCTGATACATATTTTCCCCCCTCCCTCCCCCCACCCGTTTCAATGTTGGCGCCGCGCATCCAGACATCGGATTTTTGTTGGCCCAACATTGAACTGGGGGAACGGGGGGCGCTATTCCTTTCAAAATATATGAAATTACAGCAGCTGTCCCATAGTTTCTGGCAAAGATTGTCTTGGTGGTGATCAATTGTGTTTGGAATTTGGTAATTAAACGTTTTAGTTTTAAGTTTATACCGCCCAATTACATATATTCCAATATCGAAGCATATGTGGGCAAGTTTTGGTAGTTTTAGATACTATCCATTCATTCGGGGGGGGGGGTTGTGTTATTTTTAACACTTTACATACCAATACAGGTACGTGTGCTACTAGCTATAATGCTTAATAAGCACATTTATTTTCACGTCTAATATCATCATAGCTCTCTTCCTTGTGAAAAATCCGCGGAAATTTACTCAAAAGTTACTTGCTGTCTTTGGAATGATGCAAAAGATCATAATTACGACGAACCTGGAACAGAACTATTCACAAATAATCGGTTTGTGAGTGGGGTAGGTTTAAACTCATCTCACAACATATTAAACTGCGGGGAAGACAAATAAATATGCATTGTTTTCGCCTTTTACAAACTTATACTTGAGAACTGTGGCCATTTCCAAGCTAAATTACGTTTACGGTATAAGATTTATAGCACAGTTCATAACGCAGCCAGTAGTGAAATTTCATACGTCTCATATTACACGATGCTCACTAACGAATCTCGGTCTAAAACGCTGATTTGCGTTACTATAAATTTTACTTATCTTACATTTTATATACATATGGGTACAAGAAACCATTTTCCTTAATTACAATCGGTTAACTTTGCAGATATCCTTTTTAAGTTCGTAGAACGAAGCTCACTACAAATCTGTAAATAAATCTATATCTCATTGGCTATTTTATGACAGAAAGGTGAGAATCGTTGCTAGAAAATCATTCGTATCAGTCTTAGTCAGTTCGTTACGAAAACTTGTAAAATGGTCCTATCTTGTAAAATATGCTGGACTTTAGATGCCTAGGGTGAATTTGGTTGATATTGTCTGCTATTAAGGCTTTTATGGCGTGTGAGCCCATCAAAATATGGTGAGATTCGTGGTGAGATTCGTTTCTATATGGATCTCATTGTCACATATACGCGCTTAGTTTACTAACAAGTTGGCTCAGTTGTCAATTTTCTTTAAATAGAGTTCCAATACTGTTACCATGCATGGAATTCCATGAATTGTGACTAAAATATACCACTACAAGCCTTTAAATCTGGTTTTAAATATACGCGATGAAATTCAGCCGGATTTTAGCTATTTCCTAACACACGCATACGCAAGCATTGTATAACACAGTACACGCAAATTATCTGTGAGCAACGAAATTGCTAAAGGACCTAAAAGGTGTGAAGAACTTATGAAAATTGACTGCGTACACAGCTTGATGATGTCTACAAGTTCAATTAAGTTAAATTTAAGAGTAATGGTATTACTTGAACAGACAATCTTTGACAATATAGATTGGGACAATCTAGTTTTCACATGCATTCGGTTGTAATATACCATTTGCTGATACATATTTTCCACCCTCCCTCCCCCCACCCGTTTCAATGTTGGCGCCGCGCATCCAGACATCGGATTTTTGTTGGCCCAACATTGAACTGGGGGAACGGGGGGCGCTATTCCTTTCAAAATATATGAAATTACAGCAGCTGTCCCATAGTTTCTGGCAAAGATTGTAGGCCTTCTATTTTTATTATTTTTTTTTAATATTCAGCGCTTTTTCACATGAGAAGACTGGGACTTGGCCATTGCGATAATTACCAAATGCTAGTCCGAAATTGACCAAACCTGCCAAAGATACCTGCCAAAGCCAGCCGAGTAAAGGCCTAGGTCCAGGCTGACTCCTGACGTCATCAAAACGACCGTTAATGAGGTTAAGAATTAATTCAAGATGGCGGACAGTTCGTCGCTCCAAATATTTCAACAAGTTGTTACGAAAGGTCTGTAACAAGATTTTATAGATAATTTTAAACGTTCTTTCAAATGAGAGAATAATAGTTTTTGTTTTGTTGCTTTGTTCGTTGTTAAAAAGTTAAATATTTCGATATGCACATTTTAATTCTTCCAGTATCAGCTAAAACCAGTTACAGATGAGCAAGTTTTCGATGCCAAAGTTTCGGTATGGCAAGTTCGCTAATTGCAAGATTGGTTTTCTGACCGCCATGAGAGCCACTACAACAATAGATTTTTCTATAGTAAATGGCGGAGGGGGGGGGGGGGGGGGGGGGGGTTGGGATACTAATCATCTTTACTTACAGTTGAGAAGTAAGGTGAGTTAAGACAAATATATTTTTTGTATAGTAAGTGGCGAGGATGGGAGGGGGTTGTTAATTCTCAATTCTACCTGATCGAGACAAAGGTTTTCTAAGAGAGCCACTGGTTGCCACCTGATGACTTATGATCACAGGGCACATGCAGCTATACGGTGGCAGGGGCAGTTAGACAGTGTAAGTGTCATGAGTAGTATGCCAGCTTTTGAACAGGTGTGCTTGTCACAGAAAACTTGTTGAAGTTGCCTACAGGCTAGCAAATAAAAGTTGCCGTATGAAAACTTGTCTGAGAAAGATTGCTCGTCGGTAACCGGTATTACGATGTAACTGCAATTTCATTCCGATGCACGTGCTCATTTGCATACGCAGAACTGCGAACTGGCTTACTATTATTCCATAGTTAATACAATAGATGGTTTGGAAACTCATTAGAATAACAATATAACTCATTATCCATGTTAGTCGACGTTTATTCATAAATATGGTCCTTCACCATCACGTGTGTATGGTATTTTTGCCAAATCCACCAATTTCCAATTTACCCTATTGTTCGAGACATGGATAGGTAACTTTCCTAAAACATTGGTATTGGTTTGTTGGGCAAAAATAGGGAGTTTAAGGTTCGAACTTTCTCGGCAAAATTTCCGTTAAACGTTTTCGTTTCATATTTTCTTTCTTGCGTCGAAAGAATAATTATGTTTTTCAGTTTTAAAACAGCAAGTTCATTTACTCTTTATTGCCTGATACCGTAAAATTTTTCTTTGCCCGGCGTTTGCCGTTTGACGTACAACGCGAAGCTCAAACTCTCTAATATAACACGCACGTGACGGTGAATTATGAATAAATGTTGACTAACATAGATGAGTTATATTGTTATTCTATAATGAGTTTCCAAACCATCTATTCTATTAACTATGATTATTCTGACTAACTTCTTACTGTTTTTTAACATTCTCATACACAGGTGCGTTCGACTTGGGTAACGATTGTTTACCCAAAACCACATCAGACAGTTTCTCCGCCATCATTATCGTCGGCGCGTTAAGATTTCCACTCACTATACTGGGCATGATTGACGAATCAATCACTCGGAGCCCTTCCATTCCAAATACAACACCACTAGGATTAACAACAGCCATAGGGTCATTTTCCGAACCCATCTTACAAGTACCACACGGGTGATATTCTGTGTCCGCTTTTGCCCTCAGGAATTCATCTATTGCAGAATCACTGGTAACATCAGCACCTGGGAGACCATTGAAAATAAATATATACATTACTTGCACAGTTGGTAACAAGTCTTATTTTACAAGTCCAGTTCAAGTCACGAGTCATTTTGTTCCAGTCCAAAAATACGAACAATTGGCATTCGTCGAATTTGTTTTTGTCCCGACACGTTTTGGGCAAAAGCATGCAACATAGCCGAGAAAACAATTGAAAAAGATACAGGAATACCAAAAACATAGAAAAAGGCAACAAAAACTGAACATATGTGATTTAGGAAGTACCTTCAATGCTTCTAATAAAATATATCTATCCGGCGGCGAAAGACAAAAAATACAATAATTCAGTCAAAAATTAAAACTGAGCAACACGACAAAAACCTACGATTTAACATCTTTCATGGCAAATGCATGCAGCAAAACATTGCAAAAAATGCATGTAAAAGGTGTTTTACACGCTTCTCTCGTACACATGTAAAATTCTCACAACTTGTCAACAAGATGTGTTCGCAACAGGCTTGTAGCAAGCTGGTCAACACGTTGTAATAATGCTGTTATTTTATTGAGTTGCTACAAGGTTGTTGACTCGCAACTTGTTGATAAATTGTTGAATTGCAGGACGATAACAAGTTGTTGGAACAACTTGTAACAAGTCTGTTGAGCTCACCAATCTTGTAGCAAGTTGTCAACAAGTTGTTGGGACTGCATAGTTACAAGTCTGCTGCAGGTATGCTACAACTTGTGCGTTTTTACGTGTGTATTCTCCCAGCATCCCCCCCCCCCCGTGTATTATCACGCCATAAACGCACGTGACTCGTTTTTATTTCTTAAATACAGAGGTCAATATTTGACATGCACTGGCAGACTCACAACGCACAACACGCAAACGAAATATATTTAGCCTCAACAACAGATTTCTTATTGTTGTCGGGATTATACTATATCTAATTACGTCATGCTATACCAGTTTGTATAAAAGACCTTGTATATATATTGTAGCTTTAGTGTTATGATGATTTTGAAATAAAATTGAAATATCACAAACTCATTTAATTTTCTCAATACAGGCAATCTTCACGGGGAATGGCAACAAAATTAAGTTTGTCTCATTTGAAATAACTTTTAAAATGATATACGAAGATCCTTTACAGTTCGTTTCTATCTTTCTTCGTTTTGGAGATTATTTGACCGGAAACAGCATTTGGTCTGCCATCTTGTTTTTATAGTTTACATAAAATTAACTGGGATTTTGGTGGTGCCATAACACGGTAATCTTGTAAAAACTACTAAATTATTTGCACGGGTGACTGCATTTCAAAGGGAATTTTTTTTTCTTGATATGATGAAGCCAATTGAGATGGAAAAAGGCTTAACTTTACTTCTCTTGTGATGTCATGCATACAGAACCAAGATGGCAGACTGGACACTGTTATTCGTCGAAATATTTCGACATTTCCATTAAAAACCAAAATATATTACCTGGCGCAATTTCTGCTCCTCTGAAGGGCTCCAATGCTTTCTGGGCAAAAACTTTCCTTGCTATTTTCACCGCTTCTCTCAAATCGATGATATCTTGGGGATGTTCGAAGTAATTTGGTTGTATGATAGGGTCGTGATATGGATTGTTTGGATTGAGTTTCATATAACCACGG